ATTTGGGTGAGTTTATTCTGAGCTTAAATCTGAGGATTATAACCCGGGAGAGTCTTTTCACAAAGGAACAGAGCACTCCAAAGAGGTGGGGGGGGGTATACAGGGTCGTTATATACCCTCAAAGAGGATGTTTCACATATGATTGGAATGTCCCTTTTACAATAGTCGCGAGACTACTCTGTCGGCACAGCCTATTGATGGAAATAGCAGGTAGGTCTTCTGTCTCGGTGAACACAGCAGGGTGGCAGTCTCTTGTCTCCAGCTGGGTGGTCACAGGTGAGCTGGAAGGTGAGTGCAGCAATCAGTTCCTAGCCTAAGGAAAAATGCTAATGTCGGGGGTAAGTTGCATCTTTATCACAAGGGCCTTTGTTCTGGCCATAGGAAATGTCTAAGCAGATATGCAATGCGTGCTCAATAGCCAGTCAGCCCCTTTTGGAGGAAAACAAAGAGAAGTCAGGCCGAATTAGGTTTATACCAAATGGCTTCCTCATATACTCCAATATATCCTATTGCTTGCCATTTTTATTTGTCATTAGTTTGAATTTCTCAGTCATTGCCTTCAGTTTGTATTGCCTATAAATGTCTAGTCAGGTATTTTAGCTCATATTAACAATTGCACAGAATTGCTGATTTCAGCTAAAAAATTACTTCCAAAATGTATGTGTGGGTTATTACATATAGACAATGTCTGATGTAGTCACTATTTTAATACTAAAAGCCCCACCCTACTTATATTCATAGTATACAAATAATTTGCTATAAAAATTAAAATATGTTTAACACTGATGACAAGCAATTCGTACTTTTGCATTTATCAGGGATTTTCACATTTTACTTCATTTTTTTTAAAGATTTTATTTTTTCCTTTTTCTCCCCAAAGCCCCCTGGTACATAGTTGTATATTTTCAGTTGTGGGTCCCTCTAGTTGTGGTATGTGGGATGCCCCTCAGCATGGTTTGATGAGCGGTGCCTTGTCCGCGCCCAGGACCCAAACCAGCGAAACCCTGGGCCACCGAAGTGGAGCGGGCGAACCCATCCACCCGGCCAGCTCCATACTTCATTTTACACATCAATTTTTGCTTGTCAAGTGGTTTAATAGTTCCATAAGGCACTGAAATTCCATTTACATTGTTTTTCAATGACATGTTTCTGTTGTTTTACAAGTACATTTTAACATATAATGAACAATTCTGTTCAGTTTTTCTCCTTTATGTTCTATTATTATAATTTTTTTGTATTAGCAGCACAAATACGTATTACTTGCTTGGTTAAGGTTAAAATTATCACATATAGAACTAAAAAACACAAAGTACAGAAAATTGTTATATATTTTATAATTGATCCCTTGGAGACTAATTCTTCTACTGAATAACTTTCCATTCTAATGTATATGTTGACCAGTTAGGTTTAATAATATCCTTCAGACCTGGAGCTGGCTTCTGCACCAAGTATAAAATGAAGACTTCAGTAATTTTATGCCCTCACACAGAATTTTCCCCTTAGGTCAGCTTCACCAGAAGATAAAAACAAACCAGAAATGCTAAGTATATTTCTGCCTTAAACAGGTCATCACTGTAGAAGCCTACTGTGGTCTGAATAAAAGACAGAAGACATGAAGTCATATCTTCATATTCTTCCCTGGATTAAAATTGATCACATTTTTAGAATATTGTTTTTTTAATGAGGATTTACAATAACTTTTTTCCATTTTGAAAAACCAATATGATTTGCAAAAACTCTAAACAGGATTTATTGTGAATAAGGTGTGAATTTGAATTTTTAACAGCCCCCAAATACCTGATAACAATTTCAGCTTTTGCTCCTTTTTATTGACGTGGTAATTATATCTACAGTCAGATGCCTTCCTTGGCTGGGGCAATATGTAAATAAAGAAGCATAGCAGAAGGAAAACGGTCTTTTTATCCCCACTAAGTAATCTGCATGAAATGAGTGGCAAAATCTGCTTATCTTTATATTAGCTGTGCCATCCATCTGATCAAAGCTATTCTAAACCCTGTCTAGCTTCAGAGAAAATGAGGTACTTAGTTTTGGAGTGGTTGCCATTTAAACTCCAATTATAGAGTGACAACTAACATCTCATTACCATTCTAGCATTCCAATTAATTCTTGGAATAGATTCAAACCTGATTATAATTGACAAATCAGATCTTTGAGTCTAAAATCCCTAATGTACTACATATCACTCTGAAAACAGACATCTTTTCAGACTGGTTATTTGCTTTCCCTATTTTTTCCCTCAAATTCTTCAGTTTTCCCTAGCCCTATTTGTTACCCAGTTGTTAGTGTTTTTCTTATTTCTTGGAAGAAGAGGCTGGTGATAATCCAGTCTGTTTTTCTAAGAAATTGGCCTGTAATGAAGTATAAGTAGCATGAGTGACTGGAAACAACATAAGAATATGAAGACATGACTTCATGTCCCAACTCTCTTTAAGTATCTCACATTGGACAAATTACTTAATATTTCTGGGTCTCCATCTCCTAATATGTGAAAGGAGAAATTGGGACTACATGGTTCAAGATCTATACCAACTGAAAACATCTTATGAGTTCATGAAAATGAATTTTGTTTATTTTTTAAAATTGTGGTAAAAAAACATGTAAAATTTACCATCTTAACTCATTTTAAGTATAGACTTCAGTAGTGTTAAGTATATTCACAGTGTTGTGAAATAGATCTTCAGAACTTTTTCATCTTGCAAAACTGATACTCTATACCCATTAAACAACAACTGCCCATTTTTCCCTCACCCCCAACCCCTGGAAACCACCATTCTACTTTCTTTTTTTTTTTTTTAAAGATTTTATTTTTCCTTTTTCTCCCCAAAGCCCCCCAGTACATAGTTGTGTATTTTTAGTTGTGGGTCCTTCTAGTTGTGGCATGTGGGATGCCGCCTCAGCATGGCCTGATTAGTGGTGCTGTGTCGGTGCCCAGGATCTGAACCGGCAAAACCCTGGGCTGCAGAAGCGGAGCGCGTGAACTTAACCACTCGGCCATGGAGCCAGCCTCCATTCTATTTTCTATTTCTATGAATTTGACTACTTTAGATACCACTTGCAAGTGGAATTCAACATTATTTGTCCTTTTTAGGACTGGCTTATTTCACTTAGCATAATCTCCTCAAAGTTCATCCATGTTGTAACATGTGACAGGATTTCCTTCTTTTTTAAGGCTGAATGATGTTCCATTGTATGTATATACCGCATTTTGTTTCTCTATTTATCCATTGATGGACATTTGTGTTGCTTCCACTTTTTCAAATAAGCTCTCTGCTCCCCTCTCTCTCTTCCCCTTATAGGATTCTCATAATGCATATATTGGCCCACTTGTTAATGTCCCATAAGTCCCTTAGTCTCTCATCCTTTTTCTTCCTTTTTCTTTTTGCTCCTCTGACTCAATGATTTCAAATGATCTGTCTTCAAGTCAAACTCCTCTAATAAATTTTTCAGTTCAGTTACTGTATTTTTCAGCTCCAGAATTTGTTTGGTTCTTCTTTATAGTTTCTATCTCTGCTGATATTCTCATTTTGTTCACATATCATTTTCCTGATTTTGTTTAGTTGTGCATCTGTGTTCCTTTTTAGCTCATTGAGCATCTTTATGACCGTTATTTTAAATTCTTTGTCAGGCAGCTTATAGATCTGTGTTTCTTTAAGGTTGGTTACTGTAGTTTTATTTTGATCGTTTGATTGGACAAAATTCCTGTTTCTTTGTATGCCTTGTAATTTTTTGCTGGGATTTGGGCATTTGAGAAAACAAACACCTTTCCCAGTCTTTGCACACTGGCTTCATGCAGGGAAAGACCACCAATCTGCCCATCTGGAAGTTCTAGGACCTCTCACACCTGTTATGATCTCTTGCTCCCCTTGGCATCTGCCTGCAGAACTGCAGCTGTAGTGTGCTCTTCCTTCTGTTTTCAGTGGCTTCCAAACTCTGGCCCCAGTTCCATCAATGGTCTGAGTTTGGTGAGACAGAAACCAGCCTCTCAAGCAACCCCCTGAGAAACCAGAACATTGGATGCATGGTCCACTCCTTAGTTTCCATCTCAAGGGAGGAGCCCCAGTAAGGGGATTTTTTGCTCGCTTGCTCCATGCTATGCTGCATGGGAGAAGGAACACAAATGGGTGCACTAAATGCCATGAATATTCCTACCCCATTTACTAGAATCCCTTTTTGGTTTTACAATGTCCTGGGTACTGTAGCCTCTCAGTTGGTCTCTAGAGTTCTCACAGAGTTATTCTAGTCTGTATATTGTTTTAACTCAGTGTCTCTGTCAGGGAAGGAGGGCCTGTAGCTTTCTAGTCTACCATTGTCTTAGTCTGCTTGGGCTACCATTACAAAATACCACAGACTGGTGACTTATACGACAGGAATTTATTTCTCACAGTTCTGGAGGCTGGAAGTCTGAGGTCAGAGTGCCAGAATGGTCAGGTTCTGGTGAGACCTTTCTTCCTGGCTTGTAGATGGCCACCTTCTCGCTGTGTTTTCACTCAGCAGAGAGAGAACAACCTCTGGTCTCTTACTCTTCTTATAAGGACACTAATCCCATCATGAGGGCCCCACTCTCAGTACCTCATCTAAGCCTAATTACCTCCCATGGGGCCTACCTCCAGATCCCATCACGTTGGGGGTTAGGGCTTCAACATATGAATTTTGGGGTAACAAAAATATTCAGTCCATAACAGCCATTTTGCTGACATCACTCCTGAAAAAAAATTTTAAACAAAAACATTCAACCATATGCCCTATCAGAACCATATTCTGATCTTTGTTATGCATGAAGTAGGTAATAATTCACACCTAAGCTGAAAATCACTTATCAAACTGCTAGTCTGGATCTTAATTGCATCTAGTGTACAATCTTAAATGAGATGTTTAAATATGTGTAATAAAGTAATGTTGCTTGAAGACATACATTCTAAATAATAATTTCAAAATGAAAGATTGCTTTTTAAAGTGTCACCATTTATGATTCTTATCAGGTCTTTTATAATCAAAAAAAAGAATGAATACTACCAGAAAGGGATTTGCCAAAGAAATTATCAAATGAACGTGAATCGAGGGGTAAGCATCTGCACTTTCAACTTTATAGCATGGAATCTGTGTGGTTTTGTATATCATTTTCATTTGAATAGGCTTTCTTTTTACAGCTTTTGTTTCTTCTAGTAGTTAGTTTTGGCATCTACTTATGTTGATGATTACTTTAATACATTTTAAAACCTGCTTACCAATATCAGTGTAGGAAGAAGCCATATATGTCATACTTGTCTACACGAGTCGAGTGTTTCCAGTCTTATAGTACAATTGCTTGCAAAAAGTTCCTGCTTCCCTTCCATTACTCTCAATCCTACCTTAAATTATTTAGCTTCTACATGGGCATTAGACAAAAGTGAGAAAGGATGATACATGCTGCTAATAAGTTTTATTTGTATTATTTTTGACAATCTTTTACGACCATTGAATCTCCAAGACATTGTCTTCATTTTACTTATCATTTACTTACTAAAGATCTTTGAATAGCAATTACAAGAAATGAAGTGAATAGTATATTGATTAAACCAATTAAGTCCATTTTGCTGGAAACTTTCATCTTTAATATAGAACACATGTGTTTGACATAAGTATTTAGATGAAATGTTTTGTTGAGTAAATGCAGCTCCTATATGAAACACATGCTTATTCCTACACGTGAAACTCTGGTATTTTTTTCAATACCTTTTTACGTACAGGCAAAGACGGGCTAGCTTAAATGGCAATGTAGCACAGTGTAAAGAGGTCTGGTTTGGGTCTCAGAAAATTGGCTTCCCTTCCTGGCTGATCCACTTACCAGCTCTGTGTATGACCTTGAACAAGTCACCTCTCCTGCTCTCAATCTTAGTTTTCTTCTCCTGTAAATGAGATTAGAATGAAGGCCCTCTATGAGATGTCTAAAGAGACCTAAACAGTATGGTGTAGTGGTCATGACAGGGGCTTTGGACTAACACTCGAATGGGATCATGTTCCTACCACTTAATACCATATTTGATCAATTCTGAGACACCCATTTTTTTCAGGTTTCAGTATCTCTGAAATCAGGAAGTGTCTTACATTCAATAACATGATTAAATTGAAAACTTTTAAAATCTTTTCAGTGGTACATAAAGTAACAGTGCATTTTACAATCATGGTGTCTTAGATTTTATGAAATGTGGTAGCTGAGGAACCTTGGGCAAGTCCCTTTGAGCCTGTTCTCTCAGCTATAAAATAGGAATAATATTGACCTCGTTGTGGTGACTAATTGAAACATATGTAAACATTTTAGGATAGAGACCAGATTGTGGTAAGCATTCTATAAATTGGAGTTCTTATTATTTTATCATTACAATGATGATGATTATATCAAATCATTCATTATAACCACCAAATATTCTAGCCATATTGATGTGATTATTTTAAAAATACATGCCATTTTAAAAGTTGTTACATTCTGATGAATTTTATGTGATTCAAATTTTATGTATATATACACACACACATATATATGTATATATAAAAGCTCATTCAATATTCAAGAGATTTTCAATGTGAAGTGAGAAATCCCCATCAGAATATAGGGGCAAACATGAATATTTTTTAAATAGAAATAAAATCTCTAATAGGTTAAAATCTCATAGGTGCTTCTCTTTGCCCATTCATTTCTTGATTCCGAGTTCACTTCCTACCATTCTACTAAAGTTAGCTATCAAAAGTTTTTTATTACTTCCTTGTTGTCAAATTCAATGGCCTTTTTCTTAGTCCCCTTCTTCCTCTACTTGTCTGTAGTATTTTATTTATTCATTCAACATTTGCTGAGCTCTTATTATATGCTGGAAATGTGCTACGTTCTTGAGAAAGAATCTTTACTCCCAGAAAGACAGACAGACAGAAAGAAGAAAGAAAGAAGGAAAGAAAGCCATAGCAGAAATTCTTAGATAAGAAGTATGCCCAAGGTGCTATGGCAGCATAGGGGAGGGAATCCCGAACCAGCTAGGGAGATCAGGGAAGGCGTCCTAGAGGAGATAGTGTTTGAGTTGAGTCCTAGAGGCTGAGTAGGAGTAAGCAAAGCAGAAAAGGTGGAAAAGTATTCTAGTCAGAGGAAACAACATGTGTAAAGGTATAGAAGTGAAAGAAAGCATGGCATATTTGGTACACTGTGCAGGGGAGGAAGAACTATTCCTCTACCCTCTAGGTCCTTCTCTCTGGTCTAAGAATTAAACTGACATGAGACAGAATAACAGGAGAAAATCCAACAAAGTTTAACAACATGTATACATGAGAGAAACCCGGGAAAACTGAGTAACTCACCAAAATGGCAGAAGCCACCACCTTAAATACCATCTTCAGTTAAGGACAAAGGAGGGTATTGGGGATTGTGGTTTGGGACTTCAAAGGGGAGGAAGGCAATTCACATGGAGATGGAAAAGCAAATGTTTGATAAACAAATGTTTGCCGGGCCATTTATGGACAATGAGACCCGAAGAAAACTTTGATAAAAATGGGCTTGCTAGTGCGTTCCTGTCTAGCACACCTAGAGTTAGCTATAGTGATAGCTCCTCCCTGGGACAGACCTTCTATCTTAAAGACTTTTGGGCAGTTGAGGGGAGGTCAAAGTTTCTTCCTGAGTCTTTTGTTCCCAAAAATGATTATGCAAGAGAGACACATTTTGGGGTGGCAAACTCTGATCCCCCACGGCTGCAATTAGCTTAGTTTGGTCAAACTGCAGTAGTTTTCAGACTGTGTGCTGCAGAGTTCTAGAGTCAGGAGCAGATCATGGTGGGCCTACTTGCCATGCTAGCGTGTGGATTCTATATTGAGGACAATGCAGGACTATTGACTTTAAGGAAGGAAATGACATTGACCAATTTATTTTAGAAATAATCACATTATCTCAAATCTCTTTCTTCCGATAATTTCCAGTTCTAATTCCTGCCCTTGTTTCTCCATTTCCTTTGCTCCTATTCTCACTTCTCCTACTTTGCTTCTCCACCACCTAGTTAAGCCCCCGGATAATCTGTCATGATTGCCACTGGTTTCCGTATATAACTATGTCTCCATTCTAGTGGCATCCTTATCTTTCTTTAGTTCTTAGCAAGGACTCTGTTAACTAGTGTTGACAGTAGAGTATGGGGTGAGAGTACACGAGGCTCTCTTTAACTCATGGAGTCATTGCCATTAGACACACAGTTATCTCAAATTCAAGACTGCCTTCAGTGGCATGTTTACTTGTAAACACTAACACGTACTTCCAACTTAAACATGAACTTTCCAATAAGAGAATATTTGATCTGTAAATGTTAACTTTTAAGAATACCTCCATGTGTTACTGCGTTTTAATAGTCTACTGGCTCTACAGCTTTCTTGGCTGCTATTATATTATTTGTAAGGCTTTTAATACCAAATCCACCTGCAAACTATAACTGTAGTTAGGAGTTTATATAAAAACAGCTGGACCACCAAATACTAGCTACATATAACTGGATGCACTGAAACCAGTTCAGTTATGGAGTGATCTGGGCCAATTAACATTTGAATGGAATGTTTTGATTATGCTTTGATTTGTTTCATTGACCACATGTAGGTGTAACCTTTGTTGTCACTTACTAGGTAATTATGTGAATAAGAGATTTAAGTTAATTATTGAAAAAAAATCCTAACTTTCACCTGAAATCTCTGATTGAGGTAGAAGTGAGACTTTCTAAAATTAAGTTATTAGGATAATACAGTTCTCCATCTCACTTAACTATCTTGAATACTGTCAAGGTCACAGGCCTATTCTATAGATTATAAGGACACCCTTTGTCGATTTTATCTACAATTGTTATCTTTCCCCTTGATGCAGACAACCAGTGTGTAGATCCCAGCCACATCTACATCTTGAAACTTTCCTTCTGGGTCACTACTAGCTATAAGGCCTTGGGGACATCATTTGAATTTTTTGAATCCCCATTTTCTTATTGGTTACGTGAGGGGATTGGACTGCTTGATCTCTAAGGGTCCACTGTCTTTGACATTCTTGTATCTGTGAATAGGGGAGAAAAATCTGAAATTGAATGTTAGACTGAGGATCACACAAAGAGAATATTGTCACTGAAAATGTTAGTCAATTTAAAATATAGAAAATAAGCACTTTGTGCTGAGTAAGGAAGGCTTTTACATGATTTGTTTCCACCTTTCCCATAGATTTCACCGGCAAATGATCACGACTCCTATGAAAATTATCGAAGATCTGAAAGGTAATTGCAGACAGACATCTATACCACTAACTTTATTCTTAGGGTGAAAATGAAACAAAAATGGACAAATGTAGCTTCCAGTAGGGGGACTCTAGGGTCTGATTCTGAGCTGTCCATAACAATTTCTGTAAACAATCCAAATATAGAACCAGGAAATTCATAAGTAAAACTGCCTGACTTGAATTTATGTTTATATTTGAGATTTCCATGCATCATTTCCTGTTTTCATATGGTGAGTATAAGTGTCTTGATGTTGTATCCTTTCTACTTAAAGCATGCAGGAATTGCCACCCTGAAGAATTTGGTACCATGAAGATTTTTCCTCATTTTCAATCTTAAGATTAAAACTTTTCTGCTATTTAATAATAATATATACTAGACATACTATATAAACCTCAGTGTTCCAAATGATTGAATTAAAACTTCAATCATGGAGGACTTTGCCTGGTGATGATTATCAAGAGCATCTGTGTATCCTTCCAGAACTACAGCTGGAAAGGGAAGAATGCTGTTATACTCCCTTTAAAATGGGCCTAAACAAAGGCATCTGTGGAAGGGATGAAAGAACTGTGGACATAGAAGCAGATTAATAATAGGTAGTATTTACTGAGTGCTTATTATGTGCTAGGCACTGTGCTAAGCACTCTTTTAAAATCATTATTTATTTAATTAAACATTTCTTTTTTAAATTTTTTATTGAGTTAATCATAGGTTACAATCTTGTGACATTTCAGTTGTACATTATTGTCTGTCAGTCATGTTGTAGGTGCAACCCTTCACCCTTTATGCCCACCCCCAACCCCCCCTTTCCCCTGGTAGCCCCTACCAGGTAGTTCTCTTTGTCCACATGTTTAAATTCCTCATATGAGTGGAGTCATACAGAGATTGTCCTTCTCTATCTGGCTTATTTCACTTAACATAATTCCCTCAAGGTCCATCCATGTTGTTGCAAATGGGGCGATTTTGTTCTTTTTTACAGCTGAGTAGTATTCCATTGTGTGTGTGTGTGTGTGTGTGTGTGTGTGTGTGTGTGTATACTACATCTTTTTTACCCAGTCATCTGTTGATGGGCACTTAGGTTGCTTCCACGTCTTGGCTATTGTAAATAATGCTGCAATGAACATTGGGGTGCATGGTACTTTTGGGATTGCTGACTTCAAGCTCTTTGGATAGATACCCAGTAGTGGGATAGCTGGATCGTATGGTAGTTCTATTTTAAATTTTTGGAGGAATCTCCATACTGTTTTCCATAGTGGCTGCACTAGTTTGCATTCCCACCAGCAGTGTATGAGGGTTCCTTTTTCTCCACAACCTCTCCAACATTTGTCATTTTTTGTTTTGGTTATTTTTGCCATTCTAACAGGTGTAAGGTGATATCTTAGTGTAGTTTTGATTTGCATTTCCCTCATGATTAGTGATGGTGAGCATCTTTTCATGTGCCTATTGGCCATCCATATATCTCCTTTGGAGAAATGTCTGTTCATGTCTCCTGCCCATTTTTTGATCGGGTTGTTTAATCTTTTGTTGTTGAGTTGTGTGAGTCCTTTATATATTATGGATATTAAGCCTTTTTCAGATGTATTACTTGCACATATTTTTTCCCAGTTAGTGGGTTGTTTTTTTGTTTCAATCCTGTTTTCCCTTGCCTTGAAGAAGCTCTTTAGTCTGATGAAGTCCCATTTGTTTATTCTTTCTATTGTTTCCCTTGTCTGAGAAGACATGGTGTCCGAAAAGATCCTTTTAATACTGATGTCAAAGAGTGTACTGCCTATGTTTTCTTCTAGAAGCCTTACGGTTTCAGGTCTCACCTTTAGGTCCTTGATCCATTTTGAGTTTATTTTGGTGAATGGTGAGAAAGAATAGTCAATTGTGCTAAGCACTTTTACATTTGTGATTTAATTTAATCCCCAGCAATCCTGTGAATTAGGTATGAACATTTGTATATTACAGATCAATAAAATGCACTTGATAGAATATATTAACTTCCTCAAAGTCATACAACTAGTAAGTGGTAGAAGCTATATTCAAATTTGGTTTGTGGCTGTAGAATCTGTGGGCTTTCTACTCTACCAAATTGTCTCTCCACAAGTACAAGTAAAGATGAGGTTAAATTCTTTAAAAGCCTAGTGTATCAGTTTTCTATTGCTGCTTAAAACAAATTACTACAAACAGGAGTTTAAAGCAGCACCCGTTATGTCATAGTTCTGTAGTTTAGATGTTCAGGTGTGCTTGGCTGAGTCTGTACCTAGGGTCTTAGGGAGCTGAAATCAAGGTGCTGGGCCCGGGCTGCACTCTTGTCCATAGGCTCTGGGGAAGAATCCACTTCCAAGCTCATTCTAGATGTTGGGAAAATTCAGTTCCTTGAGGTTGTGGGAATGAGGGTCCTGTTTTCTTGCTGGTTGTCAGCCAGGGGCCGCTCTGCTTCCAGGGGCAGCCTGAGTTGCCTCTCATGTGGCCCCTCCATCTTGAAAGCAGCAACAGCAAGTCATGTCCTTCTCACTCTTTGAATCATTCTAACTTCCTCTTTTGCCCCCTTCTTTTGCTTTTATTATGTGATTAGATTAGGCCAACCCAGATAATCCAGGATAATCTCCTTATTTTAAAGTCAGTTGATTAGTAACTTTAATTTTATCTACAAGGTGTCTTTTGCCAGATAAGGTAATATATTCACGGATGTGATGTCTCATCATATTCACAGTCTTGAGGGAACTCTCTGGGGGCCATTTTTAGAATTCTGCCTACCATATCTAGAATGTTACACTTAGCTGCTTTTAAAATTAAGAATGCAATATATTGTGTTCAATAAACAAAAAAGCATGTATATGTTCTATGGTATGTTGTTAAAGAAAACAAAGAGGGGAAAGAGAAATTATGACTAAAAGTTAATTAGGAAACCAATATTTATTTAATTTCTCAGAGCACTCGCTTTCTTTTTTCCAAATTGAACACTGGTTTTGGTTCAGTTGAGTCCTAGTAGGAACAATATTTATAATCAGGAAGAAAACCAGTGAAAAAATATCTGACACAAAACCACTGACTACAGCAACTGAACTGACCATGTTAAGATAACTACACAACATTTGGGCTTTTATTGTTCTCTACCTCTGATAAAGTGTGACTACATGATATGGTCTGAATGTCTGTGTTCCCCCAAAATTCAAATGTTGAAATCCTAATGCCCGATGTGATGCTGTTATGAGGTAGGGCCTTCTGGGAGGTGACTGGGTCTTAAGAGTGGAGCCAAAGGGATTAGTGCTTTTGTAAAACTGACCCCACAGAGCTCCCATGCCCCTTCCACCACATGAGGACCCAGCTAGAAGTTGGCAGCCTGCAGTCGGAAGAGAGCGTTCATCAGAACCCAACCCTGCTGGCACCCTGAGCTCAGACTTCCCAGCCTCCAGCACTGTGAGAAATAAATTTCTGTTGTTTATAAGCCACCCAGTCTGCAGTATTTTGTTATAGCAGCCCAAATAGACTAAGACACTACATGTGGTAAACATTTTCCCTTGAATTATTTAGCCATCCGTTTTTTGTTTTTTTTTATTGAGGTCATAATAGTTCATAACATTGAAAATTTATAACAATGAAATTTCAGTTGTACACTATTATTCGTTAGTCACTGTATATATGTGCCCTTTTACCCCTTATGCCAACTCCCCAACCCCCTTCCCCTCTGGTAACCAGTAATCTGTTCTCTTTGTCTATGTGTTTGTTTATATTCCACGTATGAGTGAAATCATACAGTTTGTCTTTCTCTGTCTGGCTTATTTCACTTAGCATCATACCCTCAAGGTCCATCCATGTTGTTGCAAATGGGATGATTTTGTCTTTTTTATGAGTGAGTAGTATTCCATTGTATATATATATATATATATATATATATATATATACCACATCTTCTTTATCCATTCATCAGTTGATGGGCACCTGGGTTGCTTCTACGTCTTGGCTATTTTGAATAATGCTGCAATGAACATAGGGGTGCATAAGTCTCTTTGATTTGTTGATTTCAAGTTCTTTGAATAAATATCCAGTAGTGGGATAGCTGGGTCATATGGTATTTCTATTTTTAATTTTTTTTAACATTAGCACCAGAGATAACATCTGTTGCCAATCTTCTTTTTTTTTCTCTTCTTCCCCCCAAAGCCCCCCAGTACATAGTTGTATATTCTAGTTGTGAGCGCCTCTGGTTGTGCTATGTGGGACAGCACCTCAGCATGGCCTGATGAGCAGTGCCATGTCCACACCCAGGATCCGAACCCACAAAACCCTGGGCTGCCAAAGCAGAGCATGTGAACTTAACCACTCAGCCACCGGGCCAGCCCCCTATTTTTAATTTTTTGAGGAATCTCTATACTGTTTTTTATAGTGGCTGTACAAGTTTGCATTCCCACCAGCAGTGTGTGAGGGTTCCCTTTTCGCCACAGCCTCTCCAACATTTGTTATTTTTTGTCTTGGTGATTATAGCCATTCTAATGGGTATAAGGTGATGTCTCAGTGTAGTTTTCATTGTGTTTCCCTGATGATTAGTGATGTTGAACATCTTTTCATGTGCCTATTGTCCATCTGTATATCTTCTTTGGAAAAATGTCTGTTCATATGCTCTGCCTGTTTTTGGATTGGGTTGTTTGGTTTTTTGTTGTTGAGTTGTGTGAGTTCTTTATATATTTTGGAGATTAACTCCTTGTTGGATATGTGATTTGCAAATATTTCTTCCCAGTTGGTGGGTTGTCTTTTCGTTTTCTTCTTGGTTTCCTTTGCCTTGCAGAAGCTCTTTAGTCTGATGACGTCTCATTTGTTTATTTTTTCTTTTGGTTTCCTTGCCCAAGTAGACATGGTATTTGAAAATATCCTTCTAAGACCGATGTCAAAGAGTGTACTGCTGATATGTTCTTCTAGGAGTTTTATGGTTTCACATCTTACCTTCAAGCCTTTAATATATTTTGAGTTAATTTTTGTGTATGGTGAAAGATAATGGTCTACTTTCACTCCTTTGCATGTGACTGTCCGGTTTTCCCAGCACCATTTATTGAAGAGATTTTCCTTTCTCCATTGTATGTTCTTAGCTCTTCTGTGGAAGATTAGCTGTCCGTAGAAGTGTGGTTTTATTTCTGGGCTTTCAATTCTGTCCAATTGATCTGTGCATCTGATTTTCTGCTGGTACCATGCTGTTTTGATTACTGTAGCTTTGTAGTATATTTTGAAGTCAGGGATTGTGATGCCTCCAACTTTGTTCTTTTTTCTCAGGATTGCTTTAGTTTATCCATCCTTTTTTTAAAAAAAATTCTTCTCTACTGTTTATTTACGTGAAGAGTGGTTACAATAAGACAAAGCAAGAACCAGAGCCACTAGCAGCCATTCAAGAGGCCCTATATAGAGGATACTCCTGCACCGTGGCAGAATGAAAATTTTGGATAGCCAGCCTGCTTTTTGTATTAATTCCTATGTATCCATGTGCTCTTTTTTTGTAACAACTTTATTGAGGTATAATTTTCATACTATAAAATTCACCCATTTCAATGGTTTTTAGTATATTAACAGAGTTGTGTCACTATTACCATAATCTAATTTTAGAACATTTCCATTGTCCCCAAAAGACTCTTTATACCCATTACTAGTCACTCCCCATTCACTCCCTTCACTCCCTTCCCTCCCTTTCTCCCAGCCCAAAGCAACTACTAATTCATTTTTTCTCTATCTGGAGGCTCTGGCTACTTTTGTTCCAAAATGCTTATAGATGTGACTATACTTAAATAATAGTAAAACTGCTTTGGCATTTAAAGTAGAAAAACTCATCTAGCGGTTTTGAAGTGACAGTATAAAAAAGGCTAGGTTAATGCATGCATGTGATCCTCTTGAATGCTATACAAACACAACACTCCCAGATTCCGTACTTGAATCTGGGGTTCTTGAATTAGCCCTTCTTCATTTTATAGCTGGTGGAAATGAGACCTCAAGAGGTTAAATTGAATGGCTGAATGTTGCTCATCTAATTAGTGGTTGTCAAATATATTTTTATTAAATATTATGCTTAATTGACAGATTCATGAGACATGGGGTTAGAGCTTTACACCTAACAGCTAAATATGCTACAATCAAGAATTCTCCATCCCAGCCCAGAGGAATATACCTGAAATACAACTTTCAAGCAATGGGTAATCAGGTAAATGTAATAGAATTGCACAGTAAGCTTCTTCATGAGATGTTACAGAAACTGTGTCTATTTTAGGCATATACAAGAATGTCTTTTGTGTATAGGAAAAAATGTGGTTAACCAGAGCTTATCTGGAGCCCTTAATACACAAGAAATTTCTTCCCTGTATTCCACCTTCATGAAAAACACAAAGGTCAAGAAAATACACTGACCTTAATTACTCATCTTTTAAATGAACTTCAAATTAAACACGGATTTAGCTCGGTGTACTGTGTTTACATCTGTGGTGGCCTTAAGGCTCAATATGGTTCTCACTTGCCAAGAAGACAGCTATGTTTACCAGACAATGTACTAAAGCAAAAAGAAACACACTAATGTATTTTTGAAGATTTTCACAGCAGGAGTTGAAACCGAAAGAATTATCTGCCAATTCTCAGTTAGCAACAAATTAAATTAACCAGAGCAGCCTGTTCCATCCAAAGTTTGATTAATTGTGTTCTGCATAAAAGTATATGACCTACAAGAGGAAAATAGGCAATATGTAGTAATGGATAGAGACCACCTGTGCCTCAGAGCAGTATCAATCTGGTTTCTGCTTTAGGTTTTGGGGTGGTGCTGAAAAGTGTGTTTTTTGAAGATGGAGAAAGAAACTTAGGCTCAGTGGCAGTCTATATATGAACGAAACTGAAAGTTAAGCCTTGGGAGATCTTTGAGGTATTCCAGCTGGTTGTAGACTAATAACACCAGTTGGAAGTCAGCATAGTCGAAGCATTTAATCTCCACTCAATAGAAGTGAGCCAGACCCTCACCCCACTGTGGAAGCTTACCCACTTAATCTGTGGGTAATAGTATGCTTTCTTCCCCACCTCTTCAATTAAAGCCCTTTGATGCCGCTATTTAGCCTGTAAGAACCAAGAGGTGGCCTGAGTGGTATACCATAGATCAGGCAAACTACTTCATGCTTCTAGGGTCACAGAGAAGAGCTCTATGCACTTTCTTCAAACTCAGTCTTCCTCCTGTTACTTGCAGTCTTCTCTGGCTGTCCCCTGTCTACTTTTGATAATCAAGTTTCATGAATATTTCGTAAGATTGTTAACCCCGCAAAGTCATAGCTTTTCTCTCCTTCACAGACTAAGCTTTCGCTCAATGAGAGATTCTCTAAGCTGAAAGTGAGGAAAGGACCAGGATCAATTTATCAGCTCTGAAGACCAAAGAGTGCTTTCCTCTTAAAGATTTGCTGTTAACAGGGATATTGTAATGAAGTTTATTCAACAGCATGTATATATTTCCATATTTGACTTTTTACTGCTTTTGTTAATATATTTTTCCTTATGTAAGCTTCAATGTGAGTAATCTGTCAAAACTAAGTGTTTACATAAAAGGAAACAAATGTTTAGCTTTGTTTGCATAAAAGAGCAGAGAGGTGGCACAAGAAGGAAGGTGACGGAGAGATTATAGGAAAACAGCTATGTTTTCAGAATTACATGCCTTTTCAAGATTAGAGAATTTGTTTCTTTGGTTGAATTTGTTCTTTGAGCTCTAGAAGCCACATATGAATCCTAAGTAGATTCTATTTCGTCAGTAGAGCAAGGCAAGACAAGTATCTTTTATGACTAAATATTCTGTGCCTCAAAAGTCAGTCAGTAAGACTGAATTCTATTCTTTAATTATTAAAATGGTAAATTTGTATCCAAGCTTTTACATTTTTTTAGGAATTTATGCTTTTACTTTTGACATGAATTTATAATAATTTTAATTTGTTTTGTCACTTTCTGTGAACATATTAAGTTAATAAAGTTTAAATACAAATGCGACTTTTTTCCCGTCCGTTGATACTTGGGGTCTGAAGTAATGATGATCTTGATACAGACACATTTTCAAAGTACAGTGATCTCAACAGTTGAGAGTGGATCTCAACAGTTGAGAGTGGATCTCAACTCTGTCCAGCTAAGCCTGTTGTTACAGTACACTGAAAATATTGGTTTATGATTATTTGGTGCTTCCATGTAAGGCTGGTGGTCTTTAGTCTAATTTAATAAATTCTGTCCTCACATTTAACGGTTGTTTGTGCAAGGAAAATTAAATACAGTGTAGAAATATAGGAAAAGTTGGATTCTGGTCTGGCTCATTTATACTATTGCTTTGTAATCCAAATTAACAGATGGTAAAGACTGTTACACTAATAACATTGTTTTGAAAAGTAAAACGACCATCAGTTTAATTTCAGGTCTGTATACTTTGCTGTAGCTTTGCTGCAAAGTCTTAATTTTGAATATAAAGAATGACAATGTGCATGAAGCTTCATAATATAATTTGTATCAAGTGATTTGTAGAGAGAATGTTTCTTCTGATCACAAAAACAATACATGTTTATTGAAGAAATTTTAGAAAATACAAAATGCCAAAAAAAATCACACACATAACAGCTGTAATATCTACCTTTATATTTATTTTCTTGACACTAAGATTTTTTCCATAGTAAAGCTTTCCACAGTATTTATACAGTTTCCCATTGCTAGACATTTAGGGATATTGTAATTTGAATTTTTGTAAATTAAACTCATGATGAGCATCCACACACCTATATCTTTGCAGTATAACTCCAATTCGTTCCAAATGATCATTTTTTAGACGTGGACTTGCTAGATAAAAAAAGTACTTATTTAGAATGTTACACATATTGAAAAACTGCTGTACAGAATATGAAAAAGCTTGTCTTCTCATATCCTCATCAACAGAGAATATGGGATAAACTGTTTTCAATGTCTTGCTTGCTGATGGATAATAATGAGTAAAAAGAAATAACAAAAGTCAATGAACCTAGGAGTATTTTCCAAGCTCCAGATGGTCTCTTTTCTATATTAAACAGCAGCCATATAACTCACAACTCTACCTTGAATAACATCAAAAATGTACAGGAGCATAGACAGCCAGTTTCATCAATGCCAAGAGATAAACACTGTAGCCAATTTGTCAGTACATGAACAAAGAAACAGGCTGACTGAATTTTCAATTTGCTTCATTTGACAGCAATCATAGCACTAATTTTTGAACTAGCATCATCAGCATCACCTGCAAACTCTCCAGCCTCACCCCAGACCTACTGAATCAGAAACTCTGGTTGTGGGCCCCAACCATGTGTGTCACACACGGTAAAGTCTGAGATTATATAGTGGACTACTCCTTAGTGGTAACTAACATTCCTACCCAAGACCAGGTAGGATTGTAGAGCCTACCCTTTCTCCTTCTCTTTATCTGTTTCAGTCTTTCTGGTTCGTACTTTTTTTTTTTTTAAAGATTTTATTTTTTCCTTTTTCTCCCCAAAGCCCCCCGGTACATAGTTGTGTATTCTTCGTTGTGGGTTCCTCCAGTTGTGGCATGTGGGACGCTGCCCCAGCGTGGTCTGATAAGCAGTGCCATGTCCGCGCCCAGGATTCGAACCAAGGAAACACTGGGCCGCCTGCAGCGGAGCGCGCGAACTTAACCACTCAGCCACGGGGCCAGCCCCTGGTTCGTACTTTTTACACGTCGGACATCTTCCCTCTCTCCCCTCTACTGAACTTCCGCTCTGATACTCTATCCAGCATATAGTAGTGGATGTTGGGAGGACCCTCTGCTTGGCTGCATCTGCAGCACTCCATCAATGCAGCCACCCTCCTCTGATCTTAGGTCTCCTAGAGATAGGGTCTGGCATGTACCAACTGATTACACTCTATTATTGGTCAGGAGCGGGATCATGATACAACTAGAAGTGGCAGAGCTGGCATTTGAACCCAGATCTCTCAAGTTGCAGAGTCCATACTCTTAACCTCTGAAGCATTCATGTCTTTCCTTCAATGTTGTTGTCTCTTTCTGAGATGTTCTTTTGCTCCTTTGCTGTGGATTCTGCCCATCCTTCAAGCTGCAGCTCTGTTATGTTAAATGGAGGGAAACACTAAAAAGTTGTCTGTACATGATTTGGCCTCTTTGTGATTTGATCCCTGGCTATGCTCTCCTATCTTATTTCCTTCTAGTTTTCTTCTCCCATACACCTTTCCAGCCACAATAGCTTCCTTGTTATGCCTCTAACACAGTAGGCACGCTCTTGCCTCAGAACATTTGCCTCTGCCTAAGAACATTTGCACTTGCTTTTCCATCAGCCTAGAACACTTTTCCCCCTAGAAGACCCTTCCCAAGACATTTGCATGGCTTCCTCCCTCTTGTCATTCTGGTTTCTGCTCAAATGTCACTTCTTCCATCACCTCAGGGGGACCTTCCATGACCACCCTATCTAAAATAGCACTGCTGTCACTCTGTCCCTTTATCATGCTTTCTTTTTCTTCACAGCATTTATCATTATCTAACGTTTAATTGTATCTTCATTTGTTTATTGTCACCCCTACCCTTGAATGTAAACACAAGGGACAAGGAGGGACTTTCTTGATTTTTTTCTCACTTTTATCTCCAGTGCCTAGCAAAGTACCTGGTATATAGAAGGTGCTAATAAAAATATTTCTTAAATGAAAGAGTCATGAAAAAAAATGACATTTTGACTGAAAATCAGAGTATTTAAAAAAATGTATCAAATAAAGATTGGGAAAGATGCACCATCATGTTAGAATTTGGGAACTATAGGAAATTGGTGTTTTCCCATATCCACTTTTCCAGATTTTACAAATTTTCTCAAATAATAACAATTTACTTACATCAGAAAAAAAATAAATGCGTTCTTGGGTAAGATAATAAGTCATAAAAGTATTTAAATTTCTTTTTGGTTTGTACATCTGGTGCATTTAGTTGTGTGGTTTTTTCGTTTGTTTTTTGCTGTGGGTCTGGCGGAAAGATTTCCTTGCTCCAGCTGAGTGCTGCCCCTCAACCAGCAGGTGGCAGCATTCAATCTCTAAAATATAGCCTTTTACTAACCTGCAACCTCCTTAAAAGAGAGAGAAGGAAGGAAGGAAGGGAAGGAAGGAGGCAGAGGGGGTAAGAGGGAGGGAAGCAAGGAGAAGCAAAGGAGAGGGGAGGGAAGGGAGGGAAAGAGGGAAGGGAGAAAAGGAGAAAGAAACCCTTATGGTTAAGCAAGTTGTGAAGTGTTTGGATACTTCCGAAAATAGACATTCGTTTGAAGCTGGAGAACATTTTATCCTTACAGCGCAGTTTCCCGGTTTAATTCAGACAGACGATCTTCAGGCTATTTAAACAACTAATCCTGAAAGTCCAGTAGTAAAGAGGAATGATGGCATAATTTTGCATTTCCCAGAGCCACACTTGGTAGTTGTACTCAAGGCCAGCCTTCTGTGGCAGCTGCCTTCAAAAAGTAACTTTAAGACCTAGGAACAATTAGTCTCCCATCCCCACAGCTCTAACTAATGCTCCCCAAGACCACTTTTCTTTGCCAGGCTTTAATGAGGTACATTAAACACTTGCTCCCTTTTAAAATTTGGTTATCCCTAGAGGAATCCGAACAGTCACCGAATTTTAATGTTATAAAGTCATAAAATCTAGGGTTTTTTCTTTCATAGGGAAAGAAATCTGAGACTAAGGGCTTAAACAGCTTTCCCATGACCATATATAGCTAGTTAGTGGCAGAGCTAAGTGAAGCAAGGCCCAGGTCCCCTACCTTCAGCCAAGTGTAAGCTTTATGTTTGTTTGTGTTTTGCTATATCACACTGCTTTTCTTTGAGAATATATACCTTGATGTCTAGGACTTGCTTTAAAATATTCCAGCAATAAACAAACAGATAAATAAGTAAAATACAATTATAATTTATAAATAAGTAATATACATTAAAATTCTATAATAAAGTTTTTTTTAAAAAAAAGACTATACCTTATGATACGCTGGTTTGAATAAGTATACTAGACTCTCTTATTGAAGCATATCCTGATTAGAGAACTTCGGAAGGAACATAAGAAAAGGAAGAGTGGAATATGGAGAGTTGAGGATGAGGACAAACTTCTTCCAGTGACTTCCTCATCTCACCTTGGTTCTTGATTGAACCAACTATGTGATCTTAGGCAAGTCATTTCCCTTCTACAAGCTTCAGTTTCTTTATCTGGTAAGTGTGTTCTTTAGAAAAGATAGTCTTTTAGGTCCCTGGAAACAACAGATCTCAGTTCTCTACAACACCCCAAAATGTTTAGATTCCTCTTTGAATTTTCTGAAAAAAATGCCAAAGGAAGCCTCAGATCAGAGCAAGCCCCATGGTCCTGACCAGATTATTTCTGACAGCTAAGCAGCCCCCACAACCCCACAGTTTCTCAGACGGCCCCAAGGCCACCAGTTCTGGAACAGGACTGAAGTTTTTGGCAAGCAGACATACTCACCATAGAGGTCTCCCCATGGCCTGGGGGTACCCAAGGAACATGGCTGCCTACCACTCCCATGGCTCCCCTAGGCTCCCCTTTGAATGTAGGAGCACAGGCTGTGGTAGATCAAAGTTTAAATCCCATCTCTGCCAATTCCTAGCTGTGTGTGATCTTGGTTAGCTTATTTCTAGCCCTTAATTTTCCCATATATAAAATTGTTGTGAGAATTAAGTAAGATAATAATAAATGTGGGTAGGAAGGTAGACAGAGAGGTGATGGAATAATACATTTGAGATATTATTGAATTTTTGCCCTCCAGGCGTTCACCCTCTTCCCATTCAAGTTGCTAGTCATTTCTGTATTCATTGCCTCAGTGGTGGTATGTGGCTATCGTAAGGCATAAACAGTGGGATCTTCCTCACTTTGGAGGGAGAAAGTCTTCAGGCAGTGGTATGTTGGAGCCAGCTCCAATTGGCTCTTTGTTTTTTCCCTGACGTGAACTTAATATAAAATTAACCATTTAAAAGTGAACAATTTAGTGACGTGCATCCAGTTCCAAAACATTTCCATCACTCCAAGATAAAACCTCATAGCCATTAAGCAGTTACTCCCGATTCACCTTTCCCCTAGTCACTGGCAACCACCAATCTGCTTTCTGTTTTTATGGCTTTACCTATTCTTGATATTTCATATAAATAGAATAATGTGACCTTTTGTGTTTGGCTTCTTTCACTTACCGTAATGTTTTCAAGATTCATCCATCTTGTAGTGTATATCAGTACTTCGTTCTTTTTTATGGCTGAATAATATTCCATTGCATGGCTCAACCACATACCACATTTTATCTATTCATCAGTCGATGGACATTTGAGTGGTTTCCACTTTTTGGTTATTATGAATAATGCTACCATGAACACTCTTGTATAATTTTTTTGTGTGAACATGTTCTCAATTCTCTTGGGTATGTACCTAGGAGTAGAATTGCTGGGTTATATGGTAACTCTATGTTACCAAAGTCAGGAAGAGTGCCTATAATCTGCTCACAAGAGCCAGTTGGAAATAAGCACATGAAACGATATTCGACGTCATTAGCCATCAGAGAAATGCAAACACAAACCACAGTGAGATACTTCTTCACATCCACTGAGATGGGTATAATCAAAAAGACACACAATAGGAAGTGTTGATGAAGATGTGGAGAAATGGGAACCCTCATACATTGCTGGTGGGATTGTAAAATGGCACAGATACTTTAGAAAACAATCTGGCAGTTCCTCAAATGGTTAAACATAGAGCCCTTGCATTTGTGAATGCTTCCTGGGCATGGCGGGTGTGGTCAGGGTCTGAACAGAATAACTAGTGAGGCTCCTCCCTCTCCCAGGGGTGGGATAGTCACTCATTAAACACACATCCATTCCAATAGACAGATGGATCTATGGATACAATATTCATCCCTCTGGTGTCACTTCACATCCTATCCCCAACCCTACCTCCGTGTCTCACCTCCCCAAATGGTAGGCATTCTACTGCAATAGGAATTCTTCTCCCCCAAACAACTGGTGCAGAAAAGTCCACCTGTGGTTTCTCCTTTTTCTGATAATTGAAGTTTTTGGAAGAGTAAGCAGAGGCTTACCATGTAACTCATATATGCAGTTCACATTGTGTATTTTCCTGCCTCCGGATCTTATTCCCACCATTCTACCTCTGCAAATGCCTCCCTCATTCCTTTCATTCCGTCTCAATGCTCCCTATCCCGTGAGATCCAGGTCAAATCTCATCCCCTCTATATCTATAAAGTCTTCCCTCAATCAAAGTCAGGATAGAAGTGCCCAGCGGCTCAGTAGCATAACTCCTGGATAGCATGGTACTCTTAACTAAACAACATAAAATGCTGCTCTATTTTAACTTAATATAGTTAAATACATCATTTTAAGGGAGATAAATTTAAGATAGAGCAAATGTGAATTAAATTTTGTGTGTAATGCATTGGTAAAAGACTTTCATTGTTTAATTTTACTTGGAACACTAATGCTTTGTAGTTGTATTGTGTGACTTCCCTTGTGTGGCCAAATAAGTGGGATGAGAAATTGGCAGATTTGGGTTCTGGTCATAGCTTTAGTTGTTAGCTAGGTATATAATTTTTGAGCTAACTTAACCCTCCCTATGAATCAACTGGAAAATGGGGATGATATACCTATTGATACCTATACCTTCTATCTTCTTTTCTCTGCACCCTTTTCTCTCCAGTATCACTTCCCTAGTTCAGGCTCTCATCATCCTTAGCCTAGGCCCTTGCTACTCAAAATAAGGTCTGAGGCCAAACAGCAGCTTGCTAGAAATGCAGAATCTCGGGCTCCACTCCAGATCTATCAAAACAGAATATGCATTTTAACAAGATCTTTAAGTGACTTATAGGTACCTTAAAATTTGAGAAGCACTGGCCCATTACAGCCTCTTAGCTGGTTTCTCTGTCTCAGCTGTGGCCCCTTCCAATCCGCCTTCTACATTTTGGCTAGCAAGATCTTTTCAATAGGCCAAGCTGATTATATAACTTCCCTATTTAAAATCCCCCAGGGGCTCCCTATTATGAAACAGCAATAGGGGAAAAGCATGGATACTAAATTCAAATATATTAGGTTTAAGTCTTGCCTGAACCACCTACTAGTTTTGTGATTTTTGACAAGTGATTCAAACTTCTCTTGGTTTCAGTTTCTTCATTCATGAAATGGTAAAAAAAAAAGTCTAACCTCATAGGGGCAGGGTGAAGATTAAATGAGTCCTTATATGCTGAAATAGTTGAGAAGAAAATATGATGTCTGGGATTTAGTTCCAAATAGTTCATGGCAGTGGGGAGGATACGGACTGGGGTATGGATGCAACAAGATTGGTGTGGCAGATTGTGTTTTCCAAATATGGCTGCAACAATATGTCCCATCTCACATGCTCTTCCACAATGTGACCTTGCCACCTCCCCACTTTAAGATGAGAGCCTGAACAAACACTTCTTGAATCTTGAAAACATTATGTTAAGTGAAAGAAGTCAGACACAAAAGGTGACAAAAAATTACACAGGAATCTTTATAGTAGCATTATTCATAATAAGCAAAAAGTGGAAAAAACTACTCAAATATTCATCAACTGATGAAGGTGGTATGTGATACATCCACGCAATGGAATATTATTCAGCCATAAAAAAGGAGTGAAGGGGGCTGGCCCCGTGGCCAAGTGGTTAAGTTCACACCCTCCACTGCGGCAGCCCAGGGTTTTGCTGGTTCGGATCCTGGGCGCGGACATGGCACAGCTCATCAGACCATGTTAAGGTGGCATCCCACATGCCACAACTAGAGGCACTCACAACTAGAATATACAACCATGTGCTGGGGGGATTTGGGGGAGATAAAGCAGAAAAAAAAAGGAGTGAAGGCCTGATATATGCTACAAGATGGGTGAATCTTGAAAACATTATGGTAGGTGAAAGAAACCAGACACAAAAGGTCACATGATTCCATTTATATGAAATATCCAGAATAGGTAAAAGCATAGAAACAGAAAGCAGATTGGTTGTTAGAGGCAACATTTTAGAGATTAAATCTAATTCTGCTTCCCTTGAATCTTAGCAAGCCTTATAACTCATAACCAATGTGGCAGAAGTGACGCTGTGTGACTTCTAAGGTGAGGTCAGAAAAGGTCATGAAGCTTCCACCTAGTTTTTTTGGGACATTTGCTCATGGAGAAAACAGGAAGAAGTCTGACTACCCTGAGACTGCTGTGCCAGAGAGGCTACGTTTAGGTACTCCAGTCCACATTCTAGCCCATCTGAGCCTTCCAGGCATTCCTATCAAGCTACCAAACATAGGAGTTAAAGCAGTCTTGGAGCCTCCAGGCTAGCACACCCATCAGCAGAGTACTACTGAGTGGCCTAAGTCAGTGCTATAAGGAGCAGAATCGCCCTGCCCAAATTCCTGGCCCCGGAAATCATGGGATATAATAAAATCATTGTTATTTTATACCACTAAGTTTGGATGGTAGTTTTTTTATGCAGCAATAGATAACCAGAACAATTGTCATGAGTTGATAATTGTTGAAGTTGGGTAATGGGTACATGGAAGTTCATTATATCATTCTCTCTACTTTTATATATGTGTGAAATTTTCCATAATAAAGAGGCTTTTTTTAAAGGAAATGTATGTAAAGTACTCAGCTCAAAGTTAGTAGTCAATAAATAGTAGCTATTATTATTGTAAATGGAAGTAGTCAACGGGTGGTAGCTGTTGTTATTGCGAATGGAATAAAGTTCAAATTGGGTAGTACAGCATTCAAGGTCCTCTTGCTAACCTGGCTTCTGTGTTGCTTCTTCAAGCTCATCTCTCACCAACTCACACCCTCCACTTCACTCTTACATGCTCTAGAAATTACCAAAATACCTGCAGTTCCTAGAATGCGGCACGCTGTTTTATGCCTCCAAGCTACTGTCTATGTTGCTTTCTCTTTGGGGGAGTATTTACCCATCTTTGTTCCCTTATCATCTTTTGACATTCCAGTTCAAGCGTAACCCCATCAGTGAAGCTTTTTCTGACACATAGAAATAGAATTTGTTCCTCCTGTTGTTAGGCCCCTACTCTCAACAGACTTTTTCCAAGGCAGCAGCACTAACTTACTATGTTTATGTGTATACTAGTCTGTTTCCCTTTACCAGACTGTGAACTCTTTCTCACTGTGCTATTTGTGGGGATTCAGTGGGGAATATGACAAAGTTCCAACCCTCCTGAAGCTTACAGTGCAAGTAATAAACAAATACATCTATAATTAAATTGTGATAAGTCCTATGATGGATACAAGCAGGATATGATGAGAGTGGAAGCGGGTGGAAGCGAAGTCCTCTCTGAAAAGATGTCATTTGTTGAGACTGGAAGGATGAGGAGGAGTTAATCTTATTCATATGCTTAAGCCAAGGCCCAGCACAAGGCCTGGCACATAGTAGGAGGCATTAAATACTTATTAAATGAATGTTCTGCTTAGCTCACAAGTTTCTGGTGAGGATCACATGCAATAATATCTGCCAAAGTTCTTCGGAGTGTATAAAGTGCAACAAAATGCAACTTTATTACAGACAATATCCTGAGAGGATAGGAAGCAGAATTCACTCTTTTATTGGAAGGAGCCTCAGAAAACTTCTACAGACAGGCAAGTTCTGCCCTAGCCAAGTGTATCCAGGCATACAGTCTTCTCCCCAAACATAATTTTCCCATTCTGTTTGGATCATCAACATGGCCTTTAATAAGATACAGGAGGGAGTAGACACATGGCTTGTGTGGGTGTAGTTTTGGATGAAGTCCTATGGCAGGAAGGCAGCCAGCTCTAGTGCATTGACTTGAAGATCAAACTGGATGACTTTCAAGGGTGGAAGGGGGATGCTAAAGAGAGTGGGAAGTGGAGAAGGTGATTAAGAATAATAATATTAACTCCATGTTTGCCCCTCGATAAGATCTGATTCTGTATTTATGTGTTTGAGTTCCTTTCCTTTCCTTACCTCCCTGAGTTACGGTTGTCCAAATGTTTCCTGTTCCCAGTAAGACCAGAAGAGAATTAACTTATATTTAGTATCTGCTACATGAAAGACACTATGGAATGTGCTTTTAAAACATAAAGAACATAGGCTCTGGAGTCAGATTGTTTAGACTTGAACCCACCGGCCACCCTCCATCACTTTTATACTACTGTATTACCTTGATCAGGATGCATTCTCTCTCTGCATCTAGTTTTCTCATCAGTGATGGGGATAATAGTTCCTATCTCACAGAGTTGTAGATAGGACTCAATAACATATGTCAAGTGCTTATCCCAGATACTATAGGTGCTATATTAGATACTCAATAAATGAGTGTTGTTATGGCAGCTATTACTCCTTGATTAATTCCTGGATTGAGCCAAGGTCAGTGTCAGAACCCACCTCCATGCACAGGTTTCTGTGTCTTTCCTTACAGGCTAGCTGCTTAGGGCCATAGGAATGATAATATATGAATAGAATGTCTTGGTCACTCCCAGTGTTTGCCAACAGTGCTGCAGTCACGGAATTGAGGTACATAATTTAGTGAGGTGATATTGTACTGGCTTCTTTAGATCTTTGCTGGTTAACTAATTAATTAGTCAATTAAATCCTCAACAAACATTTATTATTGAGTACTTACTATGTGCTAAGTCCTCGGAATCTAAGAATAAATAAGATAGTCTAGGACCTAGTTCAACTGTTGTCTCCTAAGGATTAAAGTGAGGCTCTTCTTTGGATATTATAGATGACCATAGCTTTAACCTCAAGGATCTCAATCTTGGGGGACCAGAGAGAGATGTAAACAGGAAGAACACTGTGGTAAATATAGCTGGCAACTGTTAGTTGTAAGCCTTTCTATTCTAGCGCATAGTGAATGTTGTGATCCAAGATAGTTTTGACACTGGCCTTGGTTCCGTCCAGGAAATACAAATAGAAACTGTTAAAATTAGTTGCTTCTAGAGAATGGCACTGGGGATTGCGAAGGGAGACTTGCTTTTCATTACAAATTCTTCCACATGCCCTGATTTGTTATTGCATGCATATATTACTTTGAACTTACTTTGATAAAGTTCACAGAAAAATTAATAAAATATGAAACTGACTTCAAAAAAATGAGAACCTAACACTTTCTATTTCCATTTTGACCAGCCATTTGATATGACTAAGGTTTGGGATGAGGTAAGCCTTGGGAAAGAGGACACAGAGTGGGAAAAGACATTGGGCAAGCTTCTTGACAATATTTTATTTAAGCTGAAAAGGTTTTTGTTCGTTTGTTTATTCTTATGGTCAAAATATTTTCACGTCAAAATATCTGAATCAAAACAACCTACTTAAAGTGTATTTATCCTAATTCAGATACTTTCTGTCCAACACAGTATCCTTGCCTATCTCCTGATTGAAATGACCACTACAGAAGAAAAATATGTTGCCATATTATACGTGTGCTATGTGCTTCCTAGTCTCAGCTCTCCCTTCTATGAGTTGGACAGCACTAGGCAAGTCCCTTTCCTTCTCTGGATCTCAGGCCCCTCTGAACATGAGGGTGTGAATTATATAAGTGATTTTCAAACAGAGTTTCTGTGAGAACCTAGGGTTCTGAGCAATTGAGAACACCCACTTTTGCTTCAACCAGAGCAGATAAATCCTGCTTCCATCTCTTATTTTTATTGCTCTTTCCACTAAGATTTCTATTGAAATAAGTGCTTTATTTATAAATTTTTTTTAAAGATTTTATTTTTCCTTTTTCTCTCCAAAGCCCCCTGGTACATAGTTGTGTATTTTTAGTTGTGGGGTCCTTCCAGTTGTGGCATGTGGGACGCCGCCTCAGCATGGCTTGATGAGCAGTGCCATGGCTGCGCCCAGGATCCGAACCGGTGAAATCCTGGGCCACTGCAGCAGAGCACGCGAACTTAACCACTTGGCCACGGGGCCGGCCCCTATAAAATATTTTTCTAGCCACTGAAGTAGATATCTAATACTTATTTCCATGCTACAAGTCTATGGTTTTAAAGGAATTCTGTAAGTAGTCAAATATTGAATGCAGTAATGTATTTCTAAAGGAAAATAGCTTAAAAATAACTTTACCATCATCATCTCATTTGATACTCAAAATAACCCTATGAGAGTTAAAGAATGAGAGATCAAGGGAAGGGGAAGCTCTTGCCTGAGCATCTGCAAACAGGGAATGGAAGAACCATGACTGGAATCCCAGTCTTCTGATGTTGATGGCTTATCTAGTCTCCACTTCACTATATTACAACACTTCTCAAAATTTGGTTCTAGTGCAAAACAATGAAGAGAAAAGTCCTTCAAAAGCAATGTTGGGGAGCCAGCCTGGTGGCATAGTGGTTAAATTTGCCCACTCCACTTCGGCGGCCTGGAGTTGGCCAGTTTGGATCCTGAGCGTGGACCTACACACAGCTCATAAGGCCACGCTGCAGCAGCGTCCCACACACAAAATAGAGAAACATTGGTATGGATATTAGCTCAGGGCCACTATTCCTCACCAAAAAAAAAAAAAACACCCCAACATTATGTTAGGCACTATAGACGCTGAAGTCAAAAAGTTCTTTGGCATCCTGGGAAGTTCAACAAGCTCAGTTCCTGAAGGCCACACTTTTAAGTATCCACCCAGAGTTCCTCCTCTCTTCGTACAAGAGAGAACTTGTCAAGGAAAATGATGCAACTGATCATCTAATGACAGCACTCTCCATATGAGAATGACTAGAGTGTACACAAATGCCTTGTTGAATCCTTAAAGAAATACCTTAACTTAAACCTTTACATAGATGGTTACGACTGGGAGGAAACTTAGAGATCACCGAGACCAACAATATAAAATTAGGAACTCAGAACATTTTACCTATGGACATAGAGCTGGCTCAGTGGCAATTCAGGACAAAGACCTTGGAAGGCAGCATGGTATTAATGAAATGAATAGACCTCTGAGTCAGGTAGAGCTAGGCTTCAATTTGAGCTCTTGCTCTTCCACTGGTGCAGTCTGGGGGCAATTTACTTAATCTCTCTGAGCCTTGGTTTCCTCATCTGTAAAATTGGGATAATACCTCATAAGGGGCATTCAAAAAGGGGTAAATGAGATAGTTCACATAAAGCTCCACTGCTTGCTGTAGATTCACTTAATTTCTCTGAGACTTTCTTTTCTTTTCTTTGAGGAAGATTAGCCCTGAGCTAACTGCTGCCAGTCCTCCTCTTTTTGCTGAGGAAGACTGGCCCTGAGCTAACATCCATGCCCATCTTCCCCTACTTTACGTGTGGGTCACCTACCATAGCATGGCTTGCCAAACAGTGCCATGTCTGGACCCGGGATCTGAACTGGCAAACTCCGGGCTGCCAAAGCGGAACATGAGCACTTAACCACTGTGCCACCGGGCTGGCCCCTCTCTGAGACTTTCTTTGAAATGTAGACCAAAATAACTACCTATTTTGTAGGCTTGGTAAGATTTTTAATGATATTTCAAGTATTTAACAACTGGTAGAGCACAGGCCCTGACCGATCAGAGCAACACCTGCTGCAAACAGTTGGTTTGACTGCATTGATGTGTACATAGTTGCTACACAGCCAAATATCAGCCTTCATGTGGAAATTAAATTGAATAACATGGAATATAATGGATATGTAATGAATTATATTGAAGTCTCTTGCCCTTCCAGCTCCTACTTTTAGTCCTCTTTCCATCATATCTGGCCACTTAAGGAGAAGAATCAAGCTCCTCTCTCATGTGAATTATATAAACTATGTTTGTCTTCCTGATTTAATCATTTTTGGGCTCCTTATTTTATAATGCTGTTTTAAAGTCTTGACATTTCAGAGTAATAAGTTTTATACTCCAATGATTCACATTTCCATGATACTGAGGTGGCCATACTAACTATCCTAAGGAACTTTGGAAGAGTAACTTAGACATCTTGAGAAATATCAGTAGAGTACAAGTGAGTTCACTTGAATGGTCTTTGAGGAAAAGGTCCCTCTGTGATGTGAACAGGTTGATGTCTCTTGGGAAAGAGCCCAGTTCAGGCTCAGAGTGTGCATTGGCTTAAAAAGAGATAAACAGAGTTGGAAATAGTAAGAAAAGATGCTTACAGATCTCTGGATTCACAACTTAGTAACTAATAGTGCCTAATACTATCGTCAAGAAGCACCTTAGGGGGGCCGGCCTGGTGGCATAGTGGTTAAGTTTGTGCACTCCCCTTCAGCAGCCCAGAGTTCACAGATTTGGATCCCAGGAGAGGACCTAGCACCGCTCATCAAGCCATGCTGTGGCAGCATCCCACGTGAAGTGGAGGAAGATTGGCGCAGATGTTAGCTCAGCAGTAATCTTTCTCAAGCAAAAAGAGGAAGATTTGCAACACATGTTAGCTCATGGCCAATCTTACTCACAAAAAAAGGAAAAAAAGAAGCACCTTAGGAAGGAAGGGGGTGGTGAGAAGGAGTGATGAATAATATGTGGTTGGGGTAGAAATGGTTTAGAAAAGGAATTACTAAGTCAACTAATTGACCAGTCTCCACAAAGTCAAAGAAAGACCTGTTGCATACCCAGCACTGAGATGGGCTGGAGTTCCAACTCCGCTTATAAAGCTGTTGCTCTCTCACGAGCCCCTACTAGTCCTTTCACGTTTGCCTGCTTCTTAAGTTGAGACAGGCATAAGTTCAAAAAGGGACTCCTCTTTGCTTGATTACTATATGTCTGTTTACATTAAGTATCTCCAGAACTTTCCAGGGAGAGGATTTTCTGCCTTCAGATAACTGGGCACAGCTCTGGCAAGAAATATTTAGTGGTAGACATTCTTCCATTAGAGAGATGACAAGACCTCTTAGAGCTACCTTAGTTTCTTTATTCTGACTTT